AAGAAGGTAAACCTCTAATAATATATTACTCATCGAATCGCTTATATAAGCTCTATAACTACTAATAAAATAAAACTTCAATCTTTTATAGAAATTATAATTTCGAAATTAATATTATAAGAATTATATTATTCGAAAGCTTTTAATTTAATTTATATAGTTATTATTTTTTCTTTTTTTTAAATTCAAATCGACTTTAATAAATTAATTAAAAGAATTATAATTATTTAAGTTATAATGTTATAATACTAAGAACATTATAAAAGACTTTTTATTAATTAAATTACTAGTATCGTAATTCATTTAAAGTGAATCAACTTTTTTATATGTATATAGTATTATGATTCTTACGGATAGTAAAATTATTAAGGAGATAAACTGTCGGAACGTATGATCACGTGCTTAAGCGAATCACATGATTCTTCCCATTATATATATAGTGGGAAGAATCATACCTTATTCTAGATCATTTCAATTTATATTATTTATTTTGTATAGGCTATATAGTATTATATATAATGATTTAAGTTAATGATCTTCTTCCCCCAAATGATTTCAATATTAATTAATGTTTACCTTTTTATTAAAGATATTTATAAATTAGATTATTTTTTAAGGTTTGTATAAAAGTATTTATATAAAAATAAAGAAGATGATTTAGATTATTTGATAAGATATTCTTTAAGAAGATAAACAAGATTGTATTAAATTATATATTTATATATAATCTATATAAAAAACTAGAATATTATATTCTTTATATTATCTTTTTCGATTAATATATTAAAAAGGAACTTCTGACTACAATTTATTTCTTTAGAATTGAATGGATTAATTGATTTATAAACTAAACTACTACATTTATAAAATTCAATAAATTAATAGTTTAATTCATGTCTATTATGTTCTACTCAAAGTTTAGTATACTTTTCGAATTCGAAACCCTTTCTTTCATATAAAAAGAATTGTTTCATTATCTCCCTTCTATTAGAAACCTTTCATTAAACCCTCTTTCTTTATCTTATAATATAAAATACTTTTCTTTATATAACTATTAAGCCAAAGAAAAAGATTTATTTATTATTTTTAATAAATCTAATTCATTTAAATTGAAAGGGTAAAGGAAAAAGATTATAAAATTAAAGAGCTTATTATAATACAAATAGTTATTTAATAAAATAGTTATTTAATAAAATAGTTATTTAATAAAATAATTTTAAAAATTCTATATGAATTCGATCTTTATTTATATCCTTAAAAGAATACACTGAAATTAAAGTCTTACAAGCTTCAGGCTACTATTCTCTCATTAAAAAGATTCAATCTCTTATATTTCAAGTTTTACAAAGGAATAGAAGAATAGCTTATTTCTATTTATCCTTATACAATGATTGAACCCCCCCCCCATTCTTGGTTCTTTTAAAATTCAATTGAATATAAATACCCTATTCGATTGAATCGATTCAATATCCCCCCCTTTAATTGTTTTGTTCTAGTGAATAAAACTCTTGTTCATTTATATACAACTTTTAATTCAATTCAATCTTTTTTTTCCCCCTCGTTCTTAACTTAAATATAGAATAAAGAAGATAAGAAGGAGAAAGAGGAATAGTCTTTAATTAGATTGGTTTTAGATTTTAAGGAATTTAGTTAATACAATTTGCTCTTTATATTATACATTCCAGATTTTTTATTATAAATGGAAATTCTACCTATATTAGAATGTATAATCATATATTTAAACGAATCATATAATTCTTTCTATTATATATATAATGAAAAAAATCATATCTTATTTTAGATCATTTTAATTTATATTATTCATTTTGTGTAGGCTATATAGTACTGTATATGGTGATTCGAGTTGACGATTCCCCCCCCAAGTGATCTCAATATAAACCTTTAATAATCGTTCTATAATATCGTCTAATATAAAGTTGTTCTTAATCATATTAATTATTAAAAGATTATTATATGATTAGTGATTTTAATATTATATAATTGAGTTATATAACTACATAATCTTATCAATCAAATCAAAGTTTAAAAGATCATATAAAATTATAATATGATTCATTAGTATATAGGCTTTATTATTATATAAGTTACTTTAAAAATATATCAAAATTAAAAAAATTTAATAATTAGATTTTAAATATTAATTACTGTCATGTTAAAGATAGAAATTTTAGCAAATGGTAATAAAATAATAGTATTTCAAAAATCTATTTTTCATATATTTAGTCTCATAATATTTTTAAAAGTGTAGATTTTATTATAATTTTGATTACAAAAAAAGTTATTTCTATTATAACTACTATATATAATCAAATTTCTTATCAAAAATTAGAATTTTGAAATAATTTAAGAATTGAAATTTATGTAATAAATTTTTGAGTAATTCTATTAGTTAATAAAGAAAATATACGATTAAGTATAGACGAATTTTATATATAAAATGAAGTAGTTCATATAATGATATAGTCTATATGCTGATGAACCACGTTATGAAATCATATAATAATACCCAGTAGTATTTTATAAGGGTTTTAAACTACCATATAATATATAGCAGGATGGATATTCATCAAGATACCAGGAATTCATATCCGGGTAGACCCAAAGAAACCCGAACGGATGCCCAACCCTGCATTTATTAGGGGCAGTAATAAAAAGATTTAGGAGAAGGAAGAGAACATACTAATGACGTGCTGAAGCTGTTTCTTTCTTTGTTGCTTCTACTGACGGGATGAAAGTCTACCCTATTTTGGAGTGAAGAACTTAAAGACTAAAGTAATATATAGGAGAAAAACGCTATTCTCTCTCATCTTGTCCCGTGCCACGCGCCATGCTGCGAGCTTGTGTTGTATTGTTAGTGTTGACATACTGGAGAAAAAACGGCCGATGACGAAAATTAAAAATTCGTGTTAGTCGTATGCTAGGTATTCAATGATAGTGCATGCACAGACTTTGAGAGAAGTTGGGCAGTCAAGATGACCCTACTAGCTTGGTCAGTTTGACTTCGGTTGCTCGCTATTATTTTGGAAATTTGAAGGTTTAAAACATTCTCCGGCTATGGGATGTCTGATTTTTCAACATCTGTTACTTTAAATTCTCAATTAAGATTTAGTATCTGATCGGATAGTGTAGCATCCAATTGCAGTCTCTCAAAGTCTTATGTTGTACACCTCTAGTCAATTTATAAACGCTTTACCCCTACAAATGCTATTATAGTTGCTAGAGAACTCATACTATTCTTTCCGGTGGACTTGATTTCTATAGATTGGTGTAAGATATATTTATTGTTTTTCCAGCTTCGGGATGTTCTTAGGTTGTGTCGCTGAAAATCGCCGCCTCCTTGAAGTAATTCTTGTATGCTAATCATGATATACCCATCCGGAAAAATATATCTTTGACGAGTTGCTAGTTCGTAATAGTGTCAAAGAACAGAGAAGAAATCTAGCGAATCCGTTCTCTATATACTTTTCACGACTATTTTGGCGATTCTATAAGGAGGTTTAGTTCATGCTGGTTCTTTCTAGAATGAGGGTGTTCCATAAGATTCGTGATCTTATTAACAGCGCAAAAGTCTTGCTCTGTGCTCAAATTGTAGGGTCATCCTCAAAAGAGACTTGAACTGGAAAGATGGAGCTAACGGTTTCGTTTCAATATGCAGGTATTGAGTCGCTTCTGGCTATTGAGCGAAAACAGCAATTATCGTAGAGTATTTATAAGCGCAAAGTTGTTTTAGAAGAATAATCAACTTTTTACTTGAAGAGAATGCGAAGTTCTCAGGAGAATACTTTTCAAGAGGGGCTTTCTGGATTTTTCTATAGTTCATTGAGAGAAAAGGCAGCTATAGGAGAAGAGAGAATTGCAAGATGGCATCAATCATGTCAGCTCAAATTTCATTTTTGATGTCCGATCAAGACGTACAGCATAATCAGACTATGAGCTGGACTCTTTGAATGTGGCTGAGACTAGTTATCTGTTTTCATTTGTTTTTGTAACCGTGCAAGCGAAAAAAAGGGGTTGATGCTCAGATAGTGATTAGATACAATGAGATTGGTGTGATAATAAGCTAAAGTAGAATCTGATTGATATCTAGAATCAATGAGACCGTATAGTAGTACAAGTGAATACAATCTGGCTAGAGTCATGTAGTGAATCGAGGCAATGGGTAGCTCGGTAGTTAAGTCAGCCCTAGGCTGCGCAACGGGTACCCGCGGAGCGGATAATGACCTTTGCAGATAATCCGCGGATTACCCGCTACGGAGCGGATAATTCGAAATCCTGGATGGATAACCTGCGGATTATTTACAGATTATTTGCAGATATTTATATATCTATAGATAATCTGTAAAGCAAATAATCTACAGATAATTTGTAGGTATACAGATTATTCACAAATAATCTATAAATAATCTATAAATAATCTATAAATAATCTATAAATAATCTATAAATTATTGCTTAATTTTTAAAGCTATTTATAACTTTATATTAATTTTTATATTAATCTATTATATAATTACCTATATATTTATAAATTATCTATAAATAACCTATATACTTATAAATTATCTATAGATTATTTACTTTATAAATTATCTATAAGTATCCACAGATTATTCATTACAAAGTAGATAATTATTTATCTCTATAAATAATTTATGAAGTAGGTAGAACCTCTAATAAGTAATTCACAAGGCGGATTACCTGCAGATTACCTGCGGGTGCGGATAATTTCTGTGCAGCCTAGTCAGCCCACTCGAGAATTAAGAATACTAATAAGACATACAGTACTCACTTACTTAAACACTCATGAAATAGACCCCAGGTCCCATTCTTGAAATACTACTAGTATCCATCCAAATTAAATCTCAAAATCTCATAGAACACAAATCATTCAAATCCTTACCCGTCGACTTCTTACTACGTACGTACTAGTAAGTCGGTCTCCAACAACAATCATTGGACATAAACGACATGCCAAAATTAATGGAGGTCAAGATTTTACCCTCCATCAGCTCCAACAGAGAGATGTTGAAACGACTCAAGTCGGGTGAAAAGACAACAGCTGCTCCGAGTATCGGATTAGTCCCGATGGATCTCAATTCCCAAGAGCAGATCGCTGCACCCACTGATCAAACTTTCACCATCTTCCCGAACCTTCCACTCGAGCTCCAGCGCAAAATATGGGAGTTTGCTGCTGTTCCAATTCCGCGAACGATTGAAATACAAAGCAAATACAAAGAAAACACCAACAAATACGTGACATCTTTCTACGAAAAAGTCTTCATTCGACGTCGCGTCCTATTTGACACAGTCATCTCTCCTATCCCAACAAATCTTCTGCATGTCTGTAGCGAATCCCGCAATATCGCTTTGCGAAACTACAGCTTTCGGACTTTTTTCCGTCGTCCGTTTTACTTGAATGAAGGTAGGGATATTCTCTGGGTGCGCGGCCCAGCCATTATTGTTTTTCTCTCAAAAGATGGTAGTATCACCACACACTATCCCAGGGAAGAAGGAACATTCCGCCACCTGGTCTCAAAATACAAGTTCCGCCATCTCGCCATCGACTACCAAGCCCAGTGCAAGCCATCCCCCATGTGGTCGAATTTCTTCCCGGGCCAGTGCAATCGCAGCTGGAATGTGTGTTTTTGGAGTAACTATATCTTGGGGGGTCTTGCGATTGAGAGAATCTACTTGGTTTATACGAAGCCGGGAGAGCAGAAGATGGCGCAGGAAGAAGCGGAGACTATGTTTGAGCTGGCGAAAAAATTTATGGCGCAGAAGGAGAAAAATGTAACGGTGGTCAGTCCGGGGAAGAGCTACGGAGTTGAGGCGGAGAACTCCATTAGGGTTTAAGGCTCCGACTGTTGAAGCGATTTTGAGTACAGAGCTCATTCGACATTCTCAATAAGTCAACTTGAGGTCATTCATTGTCGCTTACTACACATGCCTCAACCTAACCCAACCTAACAGAGAAAAAGAAGTGAAAGACATTATCGATACGTGAGAATACCTAGTGGGCGTGATATTAGTATCAGCTAGCGGCGCCGTAAGTGGTCCGTGCACAGTGTAAGAACATTAATATCTTTATAAATAGTATTAATAATAAGGAAATCAATGAATATATAATATATAACAATTCTATTAATATAACCTTAATTAATATAGAATTTGATTTCACTAATACAGGAATATTATATTCAAATATCATTCTTATTTTAAAAATAGGGATTTATTTTAAACCTATAAATTATATTGATTTTAATCGAAAACTTATTCTATTAGTTAATATTCAATAGTATAATATACTTAGTGAAAATTTCTATTGTATTCTATAAAAAGTGAAAATCGTTACGATTTTCATTACAAAAAACTATTTCTATAAAAACTATTGTATAAATTGAAATTTCCGATAAACAATTACATTTTTATAATATCTATATAATTAAATTTTATAGTTTTAAATTTTTAAAAAATTTATTATTAAATGAAGAAAATGTATGATTATATATGAATGAATTTTATATATATTTGAAGTAACTCATTCGATGATAAATCTTGTTAATTATATTTTATTATTATTATTATTAAAAATAAACTTATATCTATAAGATTTAAAATATAAGTAATAGTAGATTAAAGCTTCTTTATAATGTAGAATTAATATTGTTGGTATTATCATGTAGATGGTGAAGTTAATATAGTACTATGATTCACACTATTGTTATATTACTTAAGGTTCTAAAAGCTAGGACTATAAAACGTATTACTACGAAATGTATTACTATAGTGTCGGAAGACGCTAGCATTGACACTAGCATAATCACATAATCCCTGTCTCAATACTAACAACTTTCTAAAATCACTAGATTATATCCTTCTAATTAATACCTTTTTTGCCTATATAACCACTTATCCTTTTAATCTCTTTCTGTTGGACAGACTTAGTAAGGTGTGTATATATAATATGTATGGTTAAAAGGGTTGTTTATTTCTGTTTATTTTTTTTGTATGAAGAGGGAATTGCTATATTTATATATGTGTATTATCCTTACTTATGTACTTTGTGTGTATGTGGGGTAAAGTGTGATATGTAATATTATGTTGTTGGTCATGTGTTCCGACACTTTCAATCTACTTTATAATCTTAATCTTTATAGTATTATTATTAATCAGATCTTTTAGAGCTTAATATAGCTTGAATTTAATTATTGTATTTATAGGGTTAAATTTTTTATTAATTCATTTAATTTCTACAATCTCTTGTTTCTTATATATCTCTTAAATCGTTATTATATTAATTATTAATCTCTTTTTGTTAGTAATTCTGAGTTTTATAAGACAATTGTAAAATAATTTAAAATTGATGTATATAATCAATGGAATCTTATGGTTTAAAAAGATCTTATTGATTGTATCTTTGATTACTATACTAATATCAAAACCTAAAACTATAATATAAAGTTCTAATACTAATATACTTTTAATGATTCTTTTATATTTAATAATAATTAATAAATAATATTAACTTTATTATATTTATTTATTAAAATAATAATATATTTAATCTAAAAGGATAAATCTTTATTATTGGAAGTTGTGGCACGTGCTCTAAGCTACTGTACATATATCACTTCTACTTCGTAGTTAGATTTTACCTCAGTACAATTAATCTACATAGTTAATAATACATGCATTCCACTGGCCTGCTCCTTCATTGTGAACATTTATTATTAATAAAAAATGTATCAATAAATATAATTAGTTTTAAAGAATTTATATTAAGTGGAATAAATTGTAAGCCTTTTTTCAAATTATTAATCTATTATTGAATACACTTATTAAGAAAATCGACATCTTTTTTCTTAGAATTGATAATTTGTATAATATAAAATAGATTAAAAATTACCTCTAGTTAATACATTATTATAATATATACTCTTTAAATATATTATACAATATATTAATTCTTTACTATCATAAATTTTCTTAGTTTTTCACATATTCCTTGTATATCAAATAATTCTAATTTAATTAAGTATAAGTTTTCACATTAATTCTTCTAATTAAGATAAATTATATCATTGTTTTATTAAGTAATTAATCCATTATTGAATTTGAATAATATATTTAATATAAATATCTTATACTCTTTTACTATAAACTTAACATTATAGAATTCTTTTTATTTATATTTTGTGAATTTATTATTAATAATAATAAATATATTATCTATTTATAGCCCTATAATATCAAATGCTATATTGTTCTTAATTATATATAAAAAACATAAGTTATAAGTTGATTATATCATTTTAAGAATATTAGTATAATGCTTATAATAAGTATTAAACTAATAATTATCTGCTTTTAGAATGCTATATAATAATTATATTACTTATAGAATAAAACCTTCTGAAATGTTCATCTTTATTAATAATTATACATAGAACTTTCAAATTAAACTCAATATTAATTGTATATATACTTATATAATGTTATGAATATTTATAGTTACCTTATTCTTTAAGAGTATAATTATTATTAATAATATAATTTGTTAGCTAATATATTATATTATAGATGATTATATTAAAACAATATCTTTTCCTTAATCCTTTTATATTTATATTATTAATTGAGATTTTGAGAATATCTTATTAATTCTTTCATTCTTTATTTTATTAATAAATTATAAATTAAATATTCTTATATTTTTAGGTACATTTCTAATCTTTATAAACTAAAAAACATTATTTTTTATTAAATTATTAATCTCCTTTTATTTTAATTTAATAAAAATTATTGATATTGAATTATTAATAAATATTATGAAGTAGTTTATATATTTAATATTATTAAGTTTATTATTATTTGAAAGATAGAATATTAGATTTAATACTTGTTCTTTAGATTTAATATAATTAATGTTTTTGTTTATAAAGAAGATTATTAATATAGAAATTACAATTTAAAGAGTTAATAATTATGGGAATTAAGAGTTTTTGAATAAATTTAAAAGAGTCTTCTTTTTGTTTTTGCTTTGTATAATATTTGGTGAAGTAATTAGTTTAATTTTATTAGTTTTTAATAAAGTTGTTTTTCTTTTCTTTTGTAATATGTTTTGTATTATTCATACTAAATATGTTTGTTATATACTCTTAATAAATTGCTCAGATTATATTAGTTCTATTGTTTATACTAGTTTAATTGGTTTTTTATAGGGTTAGTTCTAAGATCAATTCTTTTTTTTATTTTATAATTTAATTTGAGTAATATAAAATTTTGTTGAATTATTAGTTATTTATATAGTGTATATTTTATCTTTTATTTCTAATAAGTAGTACAGATTTATCTAATCTTTATATTCTCTTTATACTTAAACCTTTAAGTTGATAGGTAGGTTATATAATGTTATTATAAATAGTTTATTACATTAATTTAATATATTTAATATCTATTTTATTACTTATAACTTATTGATTTTGTTTATTATTTTCTTAATTATAATCTATTATTATAAAACTATAGGTACTAATAAATCAATATTAATTATTCATAAATATAGTCTAAATATTAAGAATATTAGAATTAATCAATTTAATTCTATAATATTATTTATTACCTTAATAATTATTTGTAGTATTATCTCCCTTATTATGAAACTTCCTAATTTATTAATAATAATATTATACATTTGTCTAATAACTATATAATAATATTTAATAATTCTAATTAATTAATAAGCTTTAACCAATATACTCTTTATTTTAATTAATATAATTACTATATATTATACGAATTCCTTGTTAACAAAGTTCTTTTCAGTATTATATATAATATAATCTAGAGGGTTAATATAAGTATTCATTCAGTATTTTCAAAGTATATTGAAGATATACTTTATAATAATATTGTCTAATTATTATATTACTTAAAATCATATATCTTTATTAATAATATATAGAATGGAGTTAATATTGATATACATTATATCCATTATAATTAAATAATTAAAATCAATATCATTTCATAGGTTGAACTTGAGTCAACCTGGTGATTTTCTATACTTTTGATAATATTAACAAAATTTAGTAAATTTATTAATCTCGGTTTATATAATATTAATATGGTCAATTTATTAAAGTACTCGTAAAAACCTATATACTGACGAATGATTAAAGTAATAATATAAATATTATAGTTTTGTATTAATAAAGTAGTATACATTATTATTAATAGTTTATTATATGAATTGTTATATATTTATATATTTATTATAATAAATGTATAAAAATTATTCTCCTATATTACTTATAACAATCATATTAAAAATATTATTATAATATATACTAAGTTTGTCTATATCTTTAAGGAATAATAAGAATAATGTTTTTATATTTATAGAATGAAATTCAATAGTTCCTAATGATAAGTTTAATTATATTGAACTAATTAACTCAGCTTTATCAATTTCAAATATTATACTTATAATTCCTATTGTTTTTATATTCAAAATAATGTTCTTAATTATTATCTTATATATTATATATTACTTATAATTCATTATTAATTATTATATTATAACTATATTAAATATAATTACTTGAAATTCTTTTATATTATATCTACTAATATATATAATTAATATTAAAAGGATAATTTCCCTATTTATTCATTATTGATTTATAATTATCAGATATAATCTCTAATGGAATTAGAAACTTGGTGGTGGATTTAATAGATTTGGTATTATCGGATTGTTTTAGAACTAAATACTCATCATTTTCGATATAATACTTTCAAGATATAAAAGAATTTGTAAATAATCCTATCATATTTGACGGATGATAAGT